GAGAGAGAGAGAGAGAGAGAGAGAGAGAGAGAGAGAGAGAGAGAGAGAGAGAGAGAGAGAGAGAGGTGAGGGAATGTAGTGATTCCATGTCTGTGATACAAAATCAGTCCGCCGGTGCGGTGTTGCCAATTACGCAGTCATGCATGTGATGTGTATGGCGTGGAATAGCATGTCTGCTTGACAGTATCATTGATAGCGAGACACCTAGGTGGCACCAATTATGCAGTACCTTGTTTGCCTGACGGTCGCCTGACACGTGGTTGCTGTGTGCTTTTGTTCGTCTTTTGATGAATGGACTTGATTGAATGCAGGATTTCGTTGTTCGCAGTGACTTACCGTGTGGATCAACAATCGGACCTTCTGTGTCGACGCGACTCGGAATTCGGACTGTTGATGTCGGTGCGCCGCAGCTGTCGATGCACAGTGTTCGGGAGATGTGTGGTGCAGATGATATTGACCATTCATTCAGACACTTGAAGGCGTACTTTGAAGATGTCGGTGATCTACTGCTGGAAATCGTTGTTGATGAATGAGGGCGAACAGTCCAGTTTCGACTAGAATCCGACTTCTCACATCTACATGCACTTGCACTTGCACATACTGCATATATCCCTATCCATACCCGCCTGAAATCTGTACATATAATCATCAATCACACCACCCCACCAGACGACAGTGAACAGCTCACTTCAGTCGATACCATTCCCCGCACTTGGTACCGCATCACAATTGGAATAGGTACCACGCACAGTTGATACAAGACACCACAGTTGGTGCCACACACAGCATAGTTACCACAGTTGACAGCACACCACAGTTACCCCAGCTGCCACCGTTACCCGAGTAACCGCAGTTACTTTTGGTTTGACAATTGGTATCTGGGAAGGAAACACGAATAAACGGCAGTGAATTCCAGACCATAGTTAGCACAGTTCACACCACAGTTGTCACAGTTAACAGTTAACAACATAATTACCACTGTTATCACAGTTGGCACCACAGTTACCACAGTTGGCACCACAGTTGGCACCACAGTTACCACAGTTCCACTCAGGTTCTCGAAAATTACCACAGTTAGCACAGTTACCACAGTTCCACTCAGGTTCTCGAAAGTTACCACAGTTAGCACATTTACCACAGTTACCACAGTTGGCACCACAGTTCCACTCAGGTTCTCGAAAGGAGTTCGACTCAACGCAACTGAGTTGACAAGCTGACACCGCCGCACTTGAGGAGTTTCTTCACAGAATTGTTTGTAGGGGTCCGAGTTGGGGTCAGGTGTGTGAAGACTACGCCTGACTCTGAGCGGGCGTAGTTTACTGATCTTTTTCATTCGGGGTTAAAATTGAGCGTAGGAACTTGGAAACATTCTGTCAAAAATTTACTGATCCTTTTCATTCGGGGTTAAAATTGAGCGTAGGAACTTGGAAACAACATTCTGTCAGTGTTTTCGTTGTTACTTTCCACTTCATTGGTGTACATATGTTTATATGTGAAGACTTTTGCACTTTTGCAACTTGTCTTTATGACCTCGTTTCCAGCAAAGGAAGCCTCGCTTCACTTCCAACCTCCTCCTCCTACTTCCCCACTGTAACTTGTCTCTATGACCTCGTTCCCAACAAAGGAAGCCTCTCTCCACTTCCAGCCTCCTCCTTCTCCTTTTCCCCTCCTTGTCTCACCTCTTTCTCTTGCTCTCTCCCCTTTTTCCCTGGTGCCCTCGTCCTTCCTCCCCTCTTGCCTCGCTCAGACGTTCACTTGTA